TTCAAACAAGAACGAAACGTTGGCACGATAAAGAAAATGTTTTTTTGAAACCTACATCTCACCTACCAGACCGCATCTCACGATATCTGAATAACTAAAATTCACTATGTTTGAAACCAACGTTTCAGCACTGTAAGTGGATTTTAATATGTTGTTAATATTGTGAAATATTAATATTATTTTAGAAATCCTGTTAAAGGGATGATATATTCCTCGAAAAACAGGCGAAGGAATTGTCTGTTTCTTTTTTCCGAATTGCCCTTATCCTTAATTTTTTAATAAAAATAATATAATATATAAAATAAATCTGAAGTTTTGGAAGCATGAGGTGATGAACTCGTAGCATGACCTTTTTCCATAATTTTACCCTGCCGACCAAAACAAATGTAAAACACCGAGGTCATTTACGCCTGAATGATCGGAAACGGCCTAGCTATAACTTGATTTAGCTTTGATTTATACAAAAATATACCATGGTATCCGATAAATATACCTGTAGATGTCTGCGGGGTGAAGAACTTTTATCTAGGAACTTTTGGATCATTTTTGTCTGACTATCCAAAAAATGCAAAACAGCTAGGTATTTTAAGTTAAAATGGTCAGAAACGACCAAGCTTCAACTCGATTTTAATTTTGATATATACAAAAATATACCAGCTAACATAAAGTAAATCTGAAGTTCTTGAGCTAGGCGTAGTAATCAGCATGTAACTCGGTCGTTTCCCACCTTTTTGGTCTGACTATCCAAAATTAAAAACCGTAAGGTCCTGTAAGCCAAATTAATCAGAAATAACCTAGCTTCAACTTAATTTTAGTTTTGATATATACAAAAGTGTATCGGCTAAGTAACAAGTATAATATTTTCAAATCTACAGGGTAATGAACGTGAAGTTTGATATTTTTTGATCATTTTGGTATGCCTATCCAAAAAACAATTAAAAAAAAACAAAAAAGCAGGAAGGTATTTCGTATTAAAATGATTATAACCGACCAAGCTTCAACTTGACATTAGTATTTGCTATGTTCACAACTATACCTGCTAAAATAAGGTATATCTGAAGTTCTTGAAATTTAAAAAAAAAAAAAAAAAATTTGTAAGGTCGGGTAACTAAATTAATCCAATATGACCTAGCTTCAACGTAATTTTTAGATCATTTTGGTATGTCTATCAAAAAAAAAAAAAAAAAAAAAAAAAAAAAAACAACCCGCAAAACAGGAAGGTATTTCATATTAAAATGATCGGAACAAACCAAGCTTCAATTTGATATTAGTATTGATGTGTACACAAATATACTTGCTAAAATAAAGTATATGTGAAGTTCTTGAGCTAGGTAGGGAAGAACATGTAACTCGGTCGTTTCCATCTTTTTGGTCTGACTAGCCAAAATTAAAAACCGTAAGGCCGTGTAAGCCAAATTAACCCGAAATAACCTAGCTTCAAATTTTAGTTTTGATATAATGTGCAAACGTGTATTGGCTAAGTAACAAGTAAAATATTTTCAAATGTACAGGGTGATGAACGTGAATCTTCATATTTTTTTATCATTTTGGCCTGCCTATCCAAAAAAAACCAAAAACGAAAAACAGGAACGAATTTCATATTAAAATGATCGGAACCGTCCAAGCTTCATCTTGATATTGGTATTGATATGTACACAAACATACCTGCTAAAATAAAGTTTATCTGATTCTTTAAATTGGCCCAGTGATCAACATGTAGCTTGGTCGTTGCCCATCATTTTGGTCTGACTATCCGAAACTAAAAAAAAAATAGTAAGGTCGTGTAACTAAATTAATCCAATATGACCTAGCTTCAACGTAATTTTTTGATCATTTTGGTATGCCTATCCAAAAAACAATAAAAAAAAAAAAAAAAAGCAGGAAGGTATTTCGTATTAAAATGATTAGAACCGACCAAGGTTCAACTTGATATTAGTATTGATATGTACACAAATATACCTGCTAAAATAAAGTATATTTGAAGTTCTTGAGCTAGGCGTAGTGAACAACATGTAACTCGGTCGTTTCCCATCTTTTTGGTATGACTAGCCAAAATTAAAAACCGTAAGGTCGTGTAAGCCAAATTAATCAGAAATAACCTAGCTTCAACTTAATTTTAGTTTTGTTATGTACAAACGTGTATCGGCTAAGTAACAAGTACAATATTTTCAAATCTGCAGGGTGATGAACGTGAAGTTTGATATTTTTTGTTCATTTTGGTCTGCCTATCCAAAAAAAAAAAAAAAAAAAAAAAAAACAGGAAGGTATTTCATGTTAAAATAATCGGAACCGACCAAGCTTCTTGATATTGGTATTGATATGTACACAAATATACCTGCTAAAATAAAGTATATCCGAAATTCTTTAAATTGGCCCAGTGATCAACATGTAGCTCGGTCGTTGTCCATCATTTTGGTCTGACTATCCAAAATTAAAAACCGTAAGGTCGTGTAAGCCAAATTAATCAGAAATAACCTAGCTTCAACTTAATTTTAGTTTTGTTATGTACAAAAGTGTATCGGCTAAGTAACAAGTATAATATTTTCAAATCTACAGGGTGATGAACGTGAAGTTTGATATTATTTGATCGTTTTGGTCTGCCTATTAAAAAAAAATCAAAAACTCAAAACAGGAAGGAATTTCATATTAAAATGATCGGAACAGACCTAGCTTCAATTTGATGTTAATATTGATATGTACACAAATATACTTGCTAAAATGAAGTATGTATATCTGAAGTTCTTGAGCTAGGTAGTGAAGAACATTAACTCGGTCGTTTCAATATTTTTGGTCTGACTAGCCAAAATTAAAAACCGTAAGGTCGTATAAGCCAAATTAACCCGAAATAACCTAGCTTTAAATTTTAGTTTTGATATAATATGCAAAAGTGTATTGGCTAAGTAACAAGTACAATATTTTCAAATCTACAGGGTGATGAACGTGAATCTTCATATTTTTTGATCGTTTTGGCCTGCCTATCCAAAAAACCCCAAAAACGCAAAACAAGAAGGAATTTCATATTAAAATGATCGGAACGGACCAAGCTTCAACTTGATATTGAATTGATTGCTCGGTCGTTGACCATCATTTTGGTCTGACTATCCGAAACTAAAAAAAACAGTAAGGTCGTGTAACTAAATTAATCCAATATGACCAAACTTCAACGTAATTTTAGTTTCGATTTGCTCAAAAGTGTACCAGTTAAGATCAAGTACGACCGGGTATCCTGAAGCTTGGTATTTTCCGAACATTTTTGTCTGCCTATCCAAAATGGAGAAAAACCCGGTAATTTAAATCAAATGATCGAAGACGATCGAATAACATAATTTTAGCTTTGATGCATACAAAAATAATTAAAAGGATAGTCACAAACTAAACAGTTTGTGTTTAAATTCACTAATTTCGTGGTCGCTTGACCAATTAATATATTACAATTAATTAAGGTTTTTTAGTTGAGATAAAAAAGTCAATGGCACGAGCGGGATTCGAACCCACGATCTTCGGCTAAATACGCCGTTGCTTTACCACTTGAGCTATCGTGACCTCGGTCCACTCGGACACTAACTTCTCATCTCAACCCCACCTTTTGAAAAATGGCAAAAAGGAGGGAAAATTCAAACGGTGGTGTTGAGATGAGAAGTTAGTGTCCGAGTGGATCGAGGTCACGATAGCTCAAGTGGTAGAGCAGCGGCGTAACTAGCCGAAGATCGTGGGTTCGAATCCCACTCGTGCCATTGTCTTTTTTATCTCAACTAAAAAACGTTAATTATTTGTGTGTTTAAAGTTGAACTGTTAAACAGTTTGTGGGTAAAACTATCCTTTTCCTTTCTTTGTACAAAAATATTTTATCTAAGATAACATATACCTGAAGTTCTTGGTGTTTACTGGGTGATAAATGTGTATCTGGTCAGTTTATCCAAACAAACAATCAGGTCGTTTAAACCAAAATGATGGAAAACGACCAAGGTATAACATGATTTTAGAATTGATATATATAAAAATATACCTTCTGAGATAACTAGACGTTCTTGAGTTCTACGGGGTGATAAACTGTAACTAGGTTTTTCCGATCATTTTGATTTTGATTTTGCCTATCCAAAATGACCGGGAACGTCCGAAAAACAGTTTCACCAATTCGCAAATCTAGAAAGAAAATCAACCCTTTTTACAGCCAATTTTCATGACTTTAAGCAGATTAAGCCGTGTTCAACAAACGAAAATATTTTTATATTTTTTAAAGATATTTTATTATCATTATTAATTCAATAAAAAAATGCGCAAAATATTATTGTAATAATATGTATTAATAAACATTTAAAGACGTCAGTTATCTTGCGAAATAATCGTTAACCAAAGGCAGAAAATTTAATAACACTTTCCGTATTTTTTACTTCAAAATAAATCTATATGCAAATTTGAAAGTACAAGCAGGGAAAAACGAAACGCAATAACATATAATTAATTTTATTATATAGATAGATAATAACTAGAATCAACAGTAATAAATCTATGCATTGAAAAAAAAATCGCAATATATTTTCTAACAAATGCATACGTAAAACAGCATCAAGTAAAAAATTAAAAACACTTATACACAATATATATATACATTAAATACATCAGGTAACGAAGTATTTGTACGTTTATTGAAAACAAATAAAAAAGTCAATGTTCAAGTCTATTTTCTGTTACTTATAAAATACGAAATGAATATTTTGAGTTGAAAACTGATTTAATTTGAATTTGAATTGATCATTCTTGTTTTCCCACTTTGGCTAAATTTCAAATGTCAGTACGTTTTCTCTCAAAACAAACGGGTAAACTTGCAAAATCGCCCGTGATAATCCAAGTGAAAATAAAACAATATATAAAAAAATCTATTGTAAAATATCATACACTACTGAAAATTAAAAAGAACGATTGTGGTTGAAGTCCTGAATTTTATACACCATGTAACACATAACTATGAACCATTTGACAACTATCTGTTTTTTTAAATTAACGAATATTTATATATTTAATATATTCATTGTAAAAAAAAATATTTGAGTGCCAAGGTAGATCTCAATAGTGTATGTTTAACAAAAATCTATATGTAGAGTAAATTACCGTTTATTACAAAATTGGACATATGTTCAGTCTTATTTTATTGTTTCCTCATTTGTCATTGTTTACAAATAATATATAGATTTTTGGCCGGGATAATAAAATTACCAATCAAGATTAGTTTTAATTAATTAGTAATAATAATAATGAAGTCAATGTATTCGGAAAATAACCAAAGTTGTTGTAAAGGATTTTTGTGCATAACGATTTCCGATAGGTCGACTTTTTGATTATGTTGTATTTGATAAATAACATTTTAAATTACAACATCTTACGATTATGCGGTGTAAGTTAGGTTAAAAAAATTCGTCAGATTAAGTTGCACTGTTCAAGACGTTTGGTTATATTTGATTGTAGAAGAATATTTATAGGTTTTTATTGCTGCTTGCCCGATATTGTGTGAGCTGAGAAAAAATATTTCTAAGGCTGGACAATCTACTTCAGTCTCATAAATTATTGTAAAGACAAGAAATTAAAACAAACTGTGTATCTACTAGAAAACATGTGAAATTAAAAAAAAATCGGCTATAAATTTGAGAATGGTAATGTAAAACCGGGGGTGAATCTCCGGACAATTGTGACCGGATTGTAATTTAAATTAAAATAAAAATATAATTAAAAAGTAATAAGTTCTATGGTAACAAAGAGAGTATTTTATTTACATTTTAAAATCTTCAGGTGAAGAAAAAGTCGTCAAAGTCTATCGTGGCTTCTGAGAAAGGATCGAAATCTTGAAGATCCGTGATGGAGCTGATTTCCTGGGGCGGCGAAGGAGGCGAATCCGAGACGGGCGGGGTCGGAGGAAGTTGGCAGGCTTCCTCCGGTCCTGCCAGCGCTGCAGAAAGTGCAGCGATGTACTTCATAGCCAGCCTCAGAGTAGATATCTTCGTCAGTTTTTCTTGTTCGTTCGACTCGCCGTGCGGGACGCAACGCCTGAGGCAGTCGAACGCCTCGTTGATCTCGCGCATCCTGCAACGTTCCCTCGCATTTGCCGTTTTCCTCCTGTACTTGCTCAAAGGTACCGGTTTGGTTTTCGGCCTTTTTCTGGGCCTTCGCTTCCAGAGGATCTCCTCCTCTTCGTCCTCTGTTTTCCGGACGGTCGACCTGGGCCGGAGGGAGTAGATTTTCTCGGGGTGGCTGTTGTTGTTCGAGTCTAGAAGAACGACGTCTTCCATTCGGACGAAGACTTCTTTCCAACTGCCTGTCTTTAAGCCTGTTGCACCACTGATCGCTCCTGCCTCCTGCAACTTCACGATTCCCCACTCGACCAACGCATCCCTCCTTCAATCACGTTGACCACAATCTTCCCCACTTTCCTGTACTCTACTCGACCATTGTATTCAAATAGAAATACACGAGTGCTGTATATACCTGTATTGAGTACAAATACTGCCTTCTGGATGGTATACAGGGTGTTCAGCTACTCGTGTTAAACTTTGCCAGTAGATTCTACATTCAAAATGGAACCAAAAGGTCCTTATCAACTATGTTCCGAATCTAAAGTTTCGGAATTATTCCATTTTTTCTGATTTTTTTGAAGATTTCACGATCGTTAACGTTGGTGAAATAAGCGTTTTAGTTGCCAAAACTTTGAAATAAATTTTTTTTTCGAAGTTGATAAACTTACTATGGTAATTATAAACTACTATTTCCAAACCTAGAGACCAGCAAATTTCAGAAAACTTACTCCATTCGATATCATTTTTAGTGGTGTAATTGCTTTTTTAATTACTTTTTTCAAAGATGAAGAAATTGATGGAGGAAAGGAAAAAACCGTGGCTGTCCGCATTACCAATCCGACAGTCACATTTTTTTTCCTTTCCTCCATCGATTTCTTCATCTTTGAGAAAAGTAATTAAAAAAGCAATTACACCACTAAAAATGATATCGAATGGAGTAAGTTTTCTGAAATTTGCTGGTCTCTAGGTTTGGAAATAGTAGTTTACAATTATCATACTAAGTTTTTCAACTTTTAAAAAAAATTTCAGTTTTGGCTACTAAAACGCTTATTTCACTATCGTTTACAAGTTTAGTATTTATTACATCGTATTGGAAATTTAACGTTGTTTACAATGTTCTCAACGGATTTGTCCAAAACCTTTTACTTTTGAAGTTATCGTTTATTTGAAGCAAGGTCGTGAAATCTTTAAAAAAAAAAAAATAAATAAAATAGAATAAATCCGAAACTGCTGAGATGCGGACCGTTGTTATTAGGTACATTTTGGTTCCATTTAGAGTATAGAATCTACTGCCAAAGTTTTGTAACACGAATAGCGGAACACCCTGTATAAAAGTTTTTAGGGAGAGGTTTTGTCAGTCATATCGGTTCCAACTATAGCATGATTTATAGTAATGTGGTGATTAGTGACCGTTAGTTGATGATTATTCAGAAATTGTGAGATGCGGTCTGGTGTGATGTAGGTTTCAGAAAAATATTTTCTTTATCGTGCCAACGTTTCGAACTTTATTGAAATCATCTTCAGGGCTCAAAGTGTTTGTTTTCTGTGTAATTGTGCCATTCTTGCGTATCGTGTTGAGAGTTACTCTGACAGTGAAGCTATAAATATTTTTAACTCCATACATATCACGGGCACTCTCAACACGATACGCAAGAATGGCACAATTCCACAGAAAACAAACACTTTCAGCCCTGAAGATGATCTCAATAAAGATCGAAACGTTGGCACGATAAAGGAAATGTTTTTCTGAAACCTACATCACACCAGACCGCATCTCACGATTTATGAATAATCATGATAAAGTTCGTCAGGATTGGAATTTTTTAAGTTTCTTACATTTAGCGATATAAGCGATATAATATAGTTTACGTTAACGTTATGCAAAATCTCCCTAGGGTCTCTGGATGCATCACTAAAAGTACCCCAAAAAATTTTTTTTGGATGAAGTTTTTTTCAATTATATAGTAGATTTACACTTAGGTGTTATTTTTTCCTTTGATTAATGTCAATTGAAACAGGAAAAAAGCGAAACTAGGAGAACCAAAAGATTACCTTTTCACACGGATAGACTATCAATCAAACTTAAGGGCATTATTTTGATTTATTATTACTGGCGTTATTAATTATCGTCGCAGCCAAATCATAGTTGAGATCTGCCGTCACTCACTATTGATTAAATAGAAAACAGCGCGACTTCAAGAATATAAATTTTTTTGGTATATTGATTGTCGTAAGCTCAACTCAGCACATGTACACACATGGACACGCGGTAGAAGTAATTCTGGTGAAGTGAGCATGTCAGTTTACTGGTTGGAAAAGATAGTTCTACTCACAAACTGGTATTAGGTTTTTAAGTTTGCTATCACTAGTTTGAATTATAACTATCCTATCCAACCAGAACAACATTTTCAAATACGTGTGAAGAGGCGAATCTATCATTTCTCACAGCTCTCTGGTATGGTATGGTAAAAATGATATTAGGAAGCGGGGTTTGCGCGTCAGAGGCACTGCAGCCTTCAGGCTTATTGTCCCTTCCTAGTTTCTTAGTTTAGTGCAATAGACTCAATCCTTCTCTTTAGAAGTATAAGGTCCCTGCTGCAATTTGATTCCCTAAGTTTTTTCCATATTTTAAGTTAAATCTTCATTGAGCTGTTGCTTCGCATTCAAAGATGATATGGGTGGCTGTTTCCTCCTCCTCATTACATAATCAGCAGATGGGATCATCGCTGTATATACCCATGTTGTGTAGATGTTTCCTCAGATGGCAGTGACCGGTTAGTAGTCCTACCACTCCTCTGAGTTTGGCCCTCTCCAATTGCAGCAATGATTTTGCCAGTCTTGTTGACGCTCTCTGGCAATTGGAGTTTTAATTTACAATAAATTGTAAGGCCTCGATTATCACCCACCTCTGGTTTTGGTAGTCCACGGTCATCCAAACCCGACCACACTCTCACTCACACTTAAATACATTTCCTATTTACATACCATTACAATTAGGGTGTCTTTTTTTAACATGCGCAGATTCCAAAATCATCGTCAATTTTTTCCGATGTCATTTTTTATTTCAAATGAGAAACCTAAATATTTAAATTTTTTTCTGAAACTAGATTTTTTCTGGGAAGAATGAATACCACAAATTTGGAACACCTCCAAAATTGACGAATCTTGGATTTGTGAAAATGTTAAAAAAATATCTTTGTTTTCCCCACGAGGTGTTTAGGTAAACATAAAAGTAATTTTCAAAAAACCTTTAAATACGATCATTTTTTATAATAAAAATGAGTGAAAATTGCTTCCTTGAATGTAAGAAATTATTCTGATTCAAATTCACTATTTTTCGTGGTCCGCTTGACCAATTAATAACGTTCAATTAACTTATTTATCTCAACCTTAATTAATTGAGTAAGAAATTCTCTTGGGCACAAGTATGATTATTTAAACAATTAACATGATAATTTTATTTTGTCTTGTGAACCTCTCATCAAACAAATTGTTCAAACTGAAGATCCTACAGCCGAATACATATTTATATTCAAGCAATTTCACTCATTTTTATGATGAGAAATGAGAAATTTTATTATTTTTTTAATATTATTATGTTTACCTACCGACCTCATGGGGAAAAAATAAAACGGAAAATTATTTTTAATAAACATTTCAAGAAAATTTCCTTAATTTATTAAAATTTTCAAACAAATCTAGAGCCGTAAATTTTGGAGGTGTTCCAAAATGTCGTATTCATTCTTTTCAGAAAAAAATTAAAAATTTGTGTTCCCATTTGAAATCAAAAAATTGACCTTGACGTCGACCAAAAATGTACTACGGTTTTCTTGGAATCTACGCAAAAATATAAGGGGAGTTACCATTGGTCACGCTTTTGTATCTGTACAAAAAAAAGGCAAAACCTGCTAGCGCATGCTAAAAAGTCACCCTGTATATTTTTCCATCGTTCTAATTCCAACTAATCTAACTGAGGGTGGAGGGGTACACATTCCATGTGTACCATCACCATAAGCCGTCTTCACATTCTTGCTAATAAATACTAAATTCACTAATTTCGTGTTCCGCTTGACCAATTAATATATTACAATGGATTAAGGTTTTTAGTTGAGATAAAAAGTCAATGGCACGAGCGGGATTCGAACCCACGATCTTCGGCTAGATACGCCGCTGCTGTGCCACTTGAGCTATCGTGACGTCGTTCCACTCGGACACTAACTTCCCATCTCAACCCCGACGTATCTAGTCGAAGATCGTGGGTTCGAATCCCGCTCGTGCTATTGACTTTTTTATCTCAACTAAAAACCTTAATTAATTGCTAATAAATACATTCATTCTCAATATAGACAAAATTAAACTCAAACCGGGAATCTACATAGTGATATTTGTAATAAAACTGGCTTGTTTCCTCCAAGTATCGAAAGAGCTGCCGTTTTGTTTAATTTTATTACAAGCACACTTCTCATATCGGGTGGCATTCCTACACGCTCTCTATGTGAAGCCAGGTAATAGCATCGAATATGTGGAACTCATTGAGCAGCCTGTCAGCAACCGGACACATACGCGGGCTTCGGTCCATAAGCAAGAATCCATGTGTGAATCTTGCATGACCTATTCTTCGGATGAAGATGAACCCTCTTCAATTGTTCAGATTTCCTCAATAATCCTCAAACAGACAAAAAGAGAATTATGAACAAAGAAAATGAAAAAAATTAATATAAAAACTGGAAGAAACGACAAATTTTATAGTTATGTGATTGTTCACTGGGAGAAAAGTGAAAGCAAGCATAAAAAAAGAGGACAGCAACAAGAACAGATAAAATTGCACACAAACAGCAGCTCAATATTGTTCTTATTAAGTGACAAATATTTTTTTCTACATTTCTTCAAATTTTCTAGTTTAAATATTGGTAAGGAATACAATATTTTTTCCCAAGATAAAATAGTGAAAAATACACGTATAGAAAAATGTATAATTTCAAAATAAAAAAACTTATTGTTGGTATGTTATATGCAATAAAAGTTTACACAGTTTAAAAAATTTTTATGTAAATATAAATCTCAAGGTTGAAGTATTGCTTGGCATTGAATTTCATGGGCCATTTTGATTTTTGTGTTGAGATATTTTTTTATACCTCCACTAAAATTTACAATTCTCTTGTGAATTGCGCTTTTATTAAGCCAATATATTTCAGTATACAAAATGAGGTCAGAAACCTAAGGATTTTCCGTTTGGGCCTTGAATCGCAAACGACCTGCTCGAATAAGCCTTCATATTTTATTTCGATTAATTATTGTTTTTATGTAAATTCATGGTTGAGATGAAAAAGTT